AGTTTTTGTATATTAGTTTTATTATTATTATTATTTATTTCACCTGCTGTAAGAGGGTTACAATAGTTCTCCCTTCCTTCCTGTAGGAGTAAAGGCAGAACAGCGTCACTCGGTTCCCATAGAAACCCCTTCTGAAGCTTTACTGCTTAGCTATTCACAGATTGCAGCACCATTTTAAATATTTTGACCAATGCTTCAGACCTGATACATGTCACTTTATTAAAAAAACAACCTTCAAAAATGTAAAGTGTTCCCAACAAACTGTTATTGCTTTGTAAATGCTTGTTTTTGCTTTTGTAAATTTTCTCCATGAAACAGAATTAAAACATATGTAGAATGTCAAAAAGTATAATGAAGTTCTTTCATACATTAGGCTTCAATTAACTGGGATGCTCAATAGGCCAGATACTATTCTTTCAATAAAAGTGCCTCCTAAATACTGTATAGACGTGTATATATAGATACTCACAGATGTGTTCTATAAGTTTATATAATTAAACATAATATTATGCTGACAGGTGTTAAATGCCTTCCTGGGTACCACTTTACCTTTAATATTAAGTAAGGGTGAATATAATGTATATATGTGTGTGTGTGTGTGTGTGTGTGTGTGTGTGTGTGTGTGTGTGTGTGTGTGTGTGTGTGTGTGTGTGTTTAAATGTTTATATCTTAAAGTGTCCTTCAAATTTTTAGGATTATTACAGCTATTTCCATACAGATGAATTTATACTGAATTCCACAAATGTGTGGATAAAATACCTTTCCATATGCCTCTCTCTTCTTCCCTTTTGGCTTTGGTAGTCTTTATTGATTTTTTTGGGGGGAGATTAAGGATGAATTAATTATTTTATTAAGATTATACTGTTATAAAATAAATCTCATGGACTTTTACCTACACAATATTCTCAATATGAACGTTAGATTTGTGGAAGTCAGGTTAAATTTACTGTATATTGCATGGCAAATTATTATTATACTGTATGTAATGAATCTGACTTAGCTGGAATTCCATGCTGGAAATGGTATTTGCACACTGTTGAGACAACGGTGTAGATAATATGGTGACTTAATGTTATAACCCATCTGCGCTTCCAGAAAGTAAAATTTTTTTCATATATATATATATATATATATATATATATGTATATCTCATACTATTTTTACTATTTTTTATAATAATAGAATGTCAAAAATGACATATGCTATAAAAGCATAAAGTGGCATATATATATGTATATATATAAAATTTTATTGCAGTGCAATTATTTGTTAATTTTTTTACTAGATGGGTTCTTTGTACCAGGTTTTCTACTAAAATCTACTTAAATATCAACGTGTTTTCTTTTCCAATTGTCCTTTTATACACATTGATCTATTATCTCGTCTTATGGAGCAAAGGGATCAATGCGGGACATGAGAATTTCATTAGAACTCTGTATTCTTTTTCAGTACTAAGTACTGAGGTAAATCACTACAGCGTATTCATTCCCTGCATGATAGCACCAATTGATCACTGTACATACATAAAACCATGCTTAAAGATTGTATCATTTTACAACCTCTAATGTATTTTGAATCACTCTATCACCTCAAGTAAATGTTGGATAGCACAATCCTTTCAAACTTTGTGTAAGCACACAATGCAGCTCAAGAGTCATTCAATGTTTTCTTCAGAAATAAATTACTTTGACAGTTACTTATACTAGTGCTAATAATAACTTAGGATACAACAAAGGATTTTTATTAATTCAAACTCGTATTAGCAGATTATGATAATTGTGAATAAAAAATATTAATATTAATAATAACAGTATTATTAATATGTTATTGTTAGCATATTGCGTTATGGGTTAGATATTAATCCATTTTTGTGCTGCCAACAATATATAGGCTTATATCCAAATGGGTCTTAGTACCTGTGTGTAACTGTAACAGAAATATTACATTGTAGACTCCTTTATGGACAGGGAGGGTAATGTTTTTAAATGATAGGATGGTTTTTAAAGTGCTCTACAAAACATGTCATTTCCAAGAAAATGATTCTAATAAATGACATGTACATTGCTAATAATAATATTTTGCATATTGTATTCTCTATCACTACAATTAGAAAGAAACTTTCAACAAATGTGTTTTACTGTAGTTACAAAGATATATAGCCTTTTTTCAATGAATTAATAATAAATGAAAAACATATTTTCTTGCAGAGCAATTACAATGTTCAGCATGCTGCACACTTTATTTCTTCTTCTTTTCTCTTAATTAGATTTTTTTTTTATAAATTTCTGTAGCCTAATTACACTTTCAGAACGTCCACATTTTCAGATATTATTCTGTATTATTATGAAAATGCTAAATTAAGCTTAAAAATATTAGTTAATACATATTGTAATTCTTGGCTTATCACACAAGCTCATGTTTAAAATTACTTTACAGAGCTCCTCTACCTTCTATACTGGTTTGCAATCTGGGTAAATCAGTTTTTTTTTTTGTTGTTTTCTTCCCCTAGATTGGGGACTGCAAGCTGAGTGAGCTGATAACATCAAGCATTTTAGTGTACTTGCTGTGTAAGTAAATAAAGAGGCAGTAATAGAAAGGGTGCTACCCTGGAGCAGGTTCAAGCTTGATATAGAAAGGGAGTCAAAGGCTCTCTTGAGAGCTGCTGTGCAGAGTTCACATTGCTTGCTGTGAAAAAAAGCATCTGAAATTCCCATTCTGACAAAACTATAAGGAAAGTTCAGGCGTCAGGGCACTCTCGGTAGGAAACTGATAAAATGTGTAGGATAATGAAATTTTCCACAGAAATATCCCCCTTCTTATTTGAAAAGACAAATTATTAGCATTTTTAAACAATTTCAATATGTTTAATGACTCAAGTTTAAGCTCAAACTGTTCCGCTTACTGAATAAAGTGCTAGGTCTGTAAACAGGAATCTTAACTTACCCCAAGAGTACACTCATTTTAAATTTTACTTGAAAGCGGGATGTACGTTTATTACAATTTCAAACAAAATGCTAATGCCATTAAACAAATGAGGTTTAGGCAAATTAACTGCATTTTAATATTCTAAAAGCCTATGATATAGGACATTGTGTTACGAAACATTGGCTCGAAGTATCAGTTGCAAGTGGGATTTTCATTGCTCTAAATCTCAGGAGAATATTTGTAATTAGTATCATTTGCCTAATACTTCAGGTTAATTAGAATATTTAATTGAATAGCTGTAATCTTCAGAGATGACTATATTATGATCAAATTAGCACCATCACAGCACACGCTGCTCGCTGCTGCAGCCTGGCTCACTTCTGCTAGCTATTCAGCCCTCTGGAGCGTTCAGCAACATAAGAAAAAATCTGTTTCTTACACTTTCGAATTTTAATGATCCATTTGAACTCTGCCATCAACATTTAATTATTCTAAAAAAAAGGGAAAAAAATCCCCAACCATGGCTCCCATATGGCATGTTGGCAAATACACTTGCCCACATTTAGTTCTGCACCTCTGTTTTGCAAAAAGATTTAACATAAGCTTTTTTTTCCTCCAAAGCAAGACTTTTTTATGGTGTTTGGAAATACAGGCCATATAAAGCTTTACAGAGGGATTACTTGGATAATAGTGAAATGCTATTAGGGACAGATGAATTAACTAAGTTGGAGGCTTCCCAGCCAGGTAAGGTAAAATGACATGTTCTCTCTGAAGCAAATCTTTCGTCCATATCCCTTTTTAACAGTTGTACATGTTAGGAAAAGCTGCACAAGAAATATTAAATATGTTAAGCCCTTTCATTGCTACCAATATAATTTCTGCTGGGGTCACTCATATCTCCCAGAAAGCAACTCTAGTCAAATTTACCTTATGTTGTTTTCTGGCTGCTAGCTTAACATGCATGAGTCTGGATGTAGTGCTGCTGGCATTGATGTCTTCCCACAGATTAGCTGTATTCAGCAAAGACATTCAAAGTGGTTGTAAAGGCTCATGGTTTTTTACCTTCATGCATTCTGACTCCTGACTCTTCATTCTATGCATGAAGGTAAAAAACCTTCTGTGTGCAGTAGCCCCCCCCCCCACCCCCCAGCCCCCCCAATGCCAATGCTTACATCAGCCCCATTCCAATTCAACGATCTGCCGCGGCTCTACAGGAACTCTCCTTCCTCATTGGCTGGGACAGTAGCAGGAGCCATTGGCTTTCACTGCTGTCAATCACAACCAGTGAGCCAAGGAATAGAGAGAGAGGGCGGGGCAAAGCCACAGCTTTGTGTGTGAATGGACACAGAGCAGCTCCGTGTCCCCATTGCAAGATGCTTGCTCTGGGGGCAGGAGGGAGGGGCCAGAAGTGCCAGAAGGAGCAGTCTTAATTGGATGATGAAATTCGTCAAGGGGTGTGACCGGATGACGGCGGGGGAGATTTGAATCAGTTAGTGTGTTATATGTTGAAGCCAAAATAGTTGTTTTGAGAAAATTAAAGGATAGATTTACTCTGGTGCAAAATGTTCTAAATGAAAACAAATATGAGCATTAGTACAATGACTTCTGTATTGTTTTGTTCATAGATTAAGGGTTAAAGATTTTTGGTTAGACCTAGAATTAAACCCAAAGATAAAGGTTCATTAATGGCTTAGTTGTGCCATCATCCCAATCACACATAGAAAATATCCAAAATACAGAGTGGGGTTACTTTCAAGGCAAACACAAAAATGGCTGTTGTCGTCACTTTCGGTTTTCGTCCACGTAATTCTGAAGAGTGAGTTCCTTTCTGTGTGTAAGGGATTTCCGGAAAGAAGAATTGCGATGTGCATGCGCGCAGGAATGCACACGCACAGCGAAGATTGGCACCAGATGGCCTATTTAACTAGTTGCCGACCGCAGATAGCCGAATGACGGCTGCACTGCGGCCGGCCAGTTCTGAGTGGACGTCATATGACGTCCTCCCAGAACGCGCTCTCCTGCGCGCCGCAGGGGGCGCGCACCCGGCACTCTCCGTGATCGCTGTGTCCTACGGACACAGCTGATCACGTGATGTGGTAAAAGGCCAATCACAGCGGCCTTTTACCACGTGATCAGCAGTGTCCAATGACACGCTGATCAGAGGGAAATGCAAGTGCCGGTTCTCGGCTGCACTTTCCTCACACTGTCAGATCGTGAGGAAAGTACTGCCGAGAACCGGCAGTTGTCAGAGCGGGGATCAGCACCGATCATCAGGGCACTGATGATCAGTGCCCTGATGATCGGTGCCCAGCAGTGCCACCCGAAAGTTCCGCCCACCTGTGCCCAGCAGTGCGCTCACCAGCTCCGCCCACCTGTGCCCAGCAGATCACCCATCTGTGCCCAGCAGTGCACCCACCTGTGCCCAGCAGTGCACCCACCTGTGCCACTCTGCAGTGCCACCTACCTGTGCCCAGAAGTGCCACCTACCTGTGCCCAGCAGTGCCACCCACCTGTGCCCACCCACCTGTGCCCACCAGTGCCACCCACCTGTGCCCACCCACCAGTGCTGCCCATCAGTGCCACCCACCAGTGCAGCCCAGCAGTGCTGCCAGTCAGTGCCACCAGTCAGTGCCCAGGGGTTGTGCCAGTCAGTGCCGCCAGTCAGTGCCCAGCAGTGATGCCAGTCAGTGCCGTCTATCAGTACCCATCATCAGTGTCACCTATCAGTGCCGCCTATCAGTGCTGCATATTAGTGCCGCCTATCTGTGACACCTCATTAGTGCTGTCTATCAGTGCTGCCTATCCGTGCCACCTCATTAGTACTGCCTATCAGTGCCCTTTAGTGCTGCCTAGCAGTGCCCATCAGTGCCGCCTATCAGTGCCCATGAGTGCTGCCTCATCAACGCACATCAGTGAAGGAGAAAAAATACCTGTTTGAAAAATTTTATAATAGAAAAACAAAGAAACTTTTTTTTTTTTCAAATTTTTTGCACATTTTTTATTTATAGCGCAAAAAAGTAAAGCGCCCAGCGGCGATTAAATACCACCAAAAGAAAGCTCTATTTGTGAGAAAAAAATGATCAAAATTTCATATGGGTACAATGTTGTTGCATGACCCGCGCAATTGTCAATCAAAGTGCGGCAGCGCTGAAAGCTGAAAATTGGCCTGGTAAATAAGGGGGTATAAGTGCCTGGTAGGCAAGTGGTTAAGGAGTGCCTCTGCTCATGTTCAGTGCTGAATGGTCTTCAGCTTCCCCGTGTCCTGCTTGTTCCTGTATGATTCCTTTGTTGCTGACCCAGCTTATTCCTTACCTGACTCTGATTGCTCTCCTGATACTGGTTCCTGAATTCGGCTCTGCTCCTGACCATGGCTTTTCCTTCTGATTCTGTACCGTGCTGCCCGACTGTTGATGACCCCGGTTATTCCATGACATTACTCCTGTCTCTTGTCCTTACTACCTGTCTTGCTCTGGTGCACGTCTGGCAATCTGCAAAACCTGCGCTGCCTACTACAGGTCCCAATGTGATCTTTGGAACCCCTTCCCTACCGAAACCGCGGGTGCCTACACCTGAGTTTTTTACAGGACACCGCAGGACGTTAAGAACATTTCGTAACTCCTGCGAGCTATATTTTTCTCTGCTTCCAAGGACCTTTACATCACCAAGCACCAAAGTGGGATTTATCATCACACTTCTTAGGAATGAACCGCAATCCTGGGCATACCACCTTTGTGAGCAACATGATCCGGCTCTAACTTCAGTGGACTCTTTTTTCACAGCAATGGCACAAACCTATGCTGATCCTTTCCTGCGTCAAACCACTGAATCTATGCTTAGTAAGCTACAGCAAGGCCAAAGGCCTGTGGAAGAATATGTTACTGATTTCCGCATCTGGAGTTCCAATACTCAGTGGAACGAGTCTGCTCTCCGCTACCAGTTCCGTCTTGGTCTTTCTGACACCCTGAAGGATGAGCTTGCCCGAGTGGGGGTACCAACCAGGTCGGAGAACCTGATAGATCTGACGATCCACATTGACCATCGGATTCGGGAAAGACAGGATGAGAAGACTAACGGGGAGATTCTGATATGCTCAGAAATTGGGTCCCCCGTGCCGTCTATGAATGCTGTTCCATCAGAATCGCCCACTAAGCCAGCCAAGAGGAGATTTTGGAGACCACAGTTGTCACAGCAGAACGCCTTTGATGGCAGAAGTCCAGCCACTGCCTTTACTGTGGTGATGCAGGTCATTATTTGGCGACATGCCCGATAAAACCTCATAAGTCCTCTGCCAACTGGTTCTATATGATGCACCCGCAAGGGACAAGCCGAACGCATCTATCCTTTCATCTTCAACTACAACTGGCCGAAAGGACAATCACGGTCCCAGGCCATTATAGACTCGGGTGCTTGTAGTTGTTTTATGGATGCTAACTTTGCTACCCAGAATAAGATTCCGCTCCATACCAAGGCACAAAAACTTGCAGTTCATCTTTCAGATGGGTCCGGTATCAGTTCTGGCCCTGTAACACAAGAAACCATGCCAATATTATGCTACTCCTCCTCAGGACACCAGGAATTTCTATGTCTGGATATCATTACCTCCCCGATTTTCTAGTTATTCTCGGCATGCCCTGGCTAAGAGCACACAACCCAACCATCAATTGGTTGTCTGGAGAGATCTTCTTCCCTTCGGAGTATTGTGTTAATCACTGTATGCCTAAAGAAACAAGTGTAGCAACTCCTCTTCTCAGTATTCACTCTGATCCCGAGACCATGAAACTCATTCCTGTGATGTATCACGAGTATCTGGACATTTTCAATAAAAAGAGTTCCAATACTCTTCCTCCTTATCGTTCCTATGACTGCCCGATTGAGCTCCTGCCCGGCGCCGAAATTCCTTTCGGTCGAATTTACCCCCTATCCGAAGTCAAATTAGAGGTCCTACCGTGACCTAAACAAGATAACGATCAAGAATCATTATCCCCTTCCTCTAATTCCCGAGTTATTTCAAAGGCTGCGAGGAGCATGTTTCTTCTCAAAATTAGATCTGAGGGGCACCTACAACCTAGTGAGAATTCGTGAAGGCGACAAATGGAAGACAGCCCTTCGAACCCGATTCGGGCATTTTGAATACTTGGTAATGCCTTTTGGTCTCTGTAATGCCCCAGCAACTTTCCAACACCTAGTAAACAATATATTTCGGGACTATCTGAATCTATTCCTAATTGTTTATCTGGATGACATCCTGGTTTTTTCTCCAGTTCTATAGAAAGTCATCGGGATCACGTAAAGAAGACCCTGGATAGACTACGCCAGCATCACCTTTACGCAAAGGCAGAGAAATGTGAATTTGAGAGACAATCTATCCAGTTCCTTGGACTTGTGATTACCCCCGAGGGTATCTCTATGGACCCCCAAAAAGTGTCCTCCGTCTTAGAATGGCCCATTCCAGGAGACAGCAAAGCAGTGCAGAGCTTTGTAGGGTTCGCAAATTTTTACAGGAAATCAATCAAAAACGTCTCTGGAATCATCGCACCAGTAACACAGCTCACCAGGCAGCATATTCCCTGCAAGTGGACTCCTGAGGCCCAAGCAGCCTTTGAGCAATTAAAGACCCTGTTTACCTCCACACCTATCCTGAAGCATTCAGACCCTGCTCTAGCCTTTGTCCTTGAAGTGGACGCTTCGGAGAATGCTGTAGGAGCCATATTGTCACAAAGACAGGGACTCAAATCCCTTCTGCACCCTTCTCCAGGAAATTAAATGTCTCTGAAAGAAATTATGATGTGGGAGACAGAGAGTTACTAGCCATCAATGCAGCATTGGAAGAATGGCGCTACTTACTGGAGGGAGCGTCCCACCCTATTCTCATCTTCACAGATCATAAAAACCTGGAGTACCTGAAAACTGCAAAACGCCTCAGGCCACAAGCAAGATGGGCACTATTTTTCTCCTGCTTTGTCTTCCATTTGACGTACCGTCGTGGATCAAAGAATGGTAAACCTGACGCACTCTCCCGTATGTTTCCCGACCCAATTGTACAGTCTGAACCTGACACGATTTTGCGAGCCAAGAATTTCTTACTTCTCCAGACAGACCTCGTAACGCAAATAAGAGAAATGGTGGATAATCATCCACCTCCCAGAGATATGCATCTGCAGTTAAAGGATGGTCTGTATTTCCACAAGGAACAAATCTTTGTGCCCGAAGAACTCAGGACTCTTATTCTCAAGAGATGTCACAATCATCCCTTAGCAGGTCACTTTGGGATTCATAAGACTTCAGATTTGGTCTCTCACTCTTTCTGGTGGCCAAACGCAATAAAGGATTGCCAGGACTATGTGAGATCTTGTACAGTCTGCCTTAGGAACAAGTCTGATAAAGCCAAGACCTGGGGCCTGTTGGAATCTTTGCCCGTACTGGAAAAACTTTGGAGTATGATCTCCATGGACTTTATTGTGGAACTTCCCCCATCGGAGGGATTCACCACTATTTTTGTAGTGGTTGACCACCTGTCAAAGATGGCTCACTTCATTCCCTTGAAAGGGACTCCTAATGCCACGGAAACTGCTGCCGCTTTTATCAAAGAGATCGTAAGACTACAGGGCGTTCCCTTTAATATTGTATCTGACCGAGGAGTGCAATTTACATCCAAATTTTGGAAAGCTCTGTGTGAGGCATTAGAGATCGAATTACGCTTTTCCTCCGCTTATCAACCACAAACTAATGGACAAACGGAAAGAACGAACCAAACTCTGAAACAATACCTCTGATGCTTCTCCTCATATTCACAGGATGACTGGGTATCTCTCCTTCCATTAGCAAAGTTTGCGTACAATAATTCCATTCATTCCGCCACCAAGCAATCCCCCTTTTACTCTAACTACGGATATCATCCCTCCTTTCTTCTGGAAATACCAGTGGAACCCGCTGTCCCGGCAGTACAAGAAAGGATGGAGTTCCTCAGGAGTAACGGCAAAGTATTGCAGAAAACGATTTCCGAGGCTCAGGTGAGTAAAAAAAAAAAATTTTTGACAGAAGGAGAAGGGGTAACTTAAAACTGAAACACAAGGGGATAAAGTCTGGTTATCCACAGCAAATTTAAAATTAAGTTGTCTGTCAAGAAAGCTTGGTCCAAGATACCTGGGACCATTTACTATCAAGAGAAAGGTTAACCCTGTGGCTTTTGAATTGCTAACATGAAGGTTCACCCGGTGTTCCATTGCTCCTTGTTAAAACCGCATATTCCAAGTGGGTTTCCCAATCGAGATTCAGAGGAGCCTGCTCCACTGCTGGTTGAGGGAAATGAAGAGTACGAGGTTGAGGCTATCTTGAATTGTAGGAAGAATGGCGGACAGACCCAGTTCCTCATCAAATGGAAAGGTTATGGACCAGAGGATAATTCCTGGGAACCATCCACTAATGTCCAAGCCCCACGGATAGTTCAAGCCTATCTCTATCTTCACCCTGAGAAACGAGCCTTAGTGGCATCCGGAGGCTGCCCCTAAGGGGGGGCAATGTAAGGGATTTCCGGCAAGAAGAATCACGATCGGAAATGCGCATGTGCACAGGAATGCACACACACGGCGAAGATTGCCGCCAGACGGCCTATTTAAGGAGTGCCTCTTCTCATGTTCAGTGCTGACTGGTCTTCAGCTCCCCCGTGTCCTGCTTGTTCCTGTATGATTCCTTTGTTGCTGA